ATATATTATAAATATATATATACATGTATATATATTCTGTGTGCGTTTGTGTGCGTGTATCTGTTTCTATCGGCGATATTGTTCGCGAGTGAGTGAGCATGTGTGTATGGGAATCTGTATACGCACCGTCAGGACGTAGGAGTCCTTATTTCAAAGTCCGCGCTCATCGTATTTGGTTCTTGAGCAATGTTCTGTTCTCTTCATAACTTGTCAAAGCATGCAAAGATGTATTATGAAAGGTACGTACGTGAGCTGAATGAAACGTATTTTCTCCTAGATCATAGTGTGCAAAATAATTACCCTACTAACACAAAATCCGTACCAAATAAAAGCTAAGGGTTTCCGCAAGATCTGTTGCAGCTATATTTTCCCCCTCATAATCACCAGGTGCACCAAAGAGTAAAATTATTCTCAATCGTGTGGGTGAAAAATTCAAGCAGTTTTTCACTATGCCACCTACACACATCTGCTGCGATTTCTGCTGTTTCATTATAATTGATTCTCCACTTAAAATGGCCTTTTGGTTTCGAAAAACGAAAAAAAAAGTCAAATGGGCCTAGGCCTGGACTACAGAAAGGTTGGGGTAAACATCTTGGATTGGAATTTGAGTCGCAATATGGTGCCCTGGGTCTTTTGGTGCGGGAGGGGTTGGATGTTTTCATATTAGAGAACGGGATTTTTCACTTTCCTGAAATAGTGATAAACATGCCCGAAATTTTCGAAGAGTCTTCACGTATCAATCAGTGCGGAAAGTGTTACCCTACTCCAACAATTCCATGTGTCATTCCTATATAATCTTAAAACATGCCAAGATCACTTCCCCAATGGAAGGCGCAATTATGAATGTTTCATTTTTGTATTTATATATTTATTTTTTTGATTTGGCAAACCTTTACACCTGAATTCCATGGGTTGACAGTGGTGTTTTGTCTGTCATGTGGGTGTCCATAATGCGCACGCACGCATCGCAGCGAAAGTTTTTTTTACAGAGCAAGGAGCGGCACCCATAGCAATGTGCGGTATAGGATATTCTAATTGATTAAGTTTGTGGAAGTAACAGACGCATTTTGAACTCTAGATCGAGTTTACAAACGAAATTGTGTACACATTTGTAGACTTTATGTTTCTCTCACTAGAACATTTCGTGCGTGCAGGAAGCAAGATTTTTCAGTCGTCTCTTGTGTCTTATATATAAAATATACCGAGTTGCAAAAGTTCTGTCACACCCACCTTAAAAGTACAATAACTCGTTTATTATTCAACTTAGCTAAGAGAAATTTGGTAGACGATATCTTTATTCATTTTCTGCCCATATGGCATGGAAAAATTTACAAATGTCTTTCTTTATTCAAGGGAGATAATTTTATTCACACTGACCCTTACAAAATCCAAATCAAAGTTTGCTCAGTATGGCGTGAGGCCTCTTCCAGCTTGAATTACTGATACAAAACATTTGTTCATTGACTGAATTAATGTCTTTATTGTTGTCTGAAGAATCCCCTGCTTTTTGAAATGCAGCCTTCAGTTGCTGACGAGTTTATACGGAGTGAGGCATGTTTTTAATCCTCCAGTCAAGGCCATCTTCCAGATGTTCTTTTGGGTTAAGGCTTGTTGATCTTGCAGGCCAGTCCAGAACAACGGTCTGATGAGTTTGGAAGGAGTTTTCACTGATCGTAGCGATTTGAGGTCGGGTGTTGTCTTGTTAGCACATTCCATCATCCGTGCCATGTAAGGCAGTCACCGTGAAGTCCTTTGAGGTTGCTTTGAAAAGGAACCAAATGTGTACGATAAAGAGCAGAAATTCCACCACATAATATCACATTTCAGCCACCTATTCGGGCCTCTTGGGGGGGGGGGGGGGGGGGGGCGTTGGATATGGAAAATCTCTATCCTCTTCTTTTAAACACTTTTTCTCTTCCATCTATGCAACGAATTAAAAACCTTAACCATTGCTTAAAAGAACACTTTACCAACGTCTTTAGTTTCATCGCCAATGTTGTTGTGTCAAAATTTTGCGATTTGTTCGATGAAAAAGGGTTAGAACGGCTCCACACAAAGGGCGATAATCACGTAATCCACGATCTTACAAATGTCTAATAATGGTGTTTTAAGATAGTCCAAAGTACCTGACAGTCTGTGCACCTAGAAATCTAGTTGGAATGGGTTTTGTACTTGGGGGTTGACAATAACCCAATTCTGACGTCGAGTTGTCGCCCTTGGTTGGCCTCGCCTTGACTTGTCTTGGACAGTTCTAGTGGTGTTAAAGCGTTTGTTCAAGCGTTAGATGGTCCTGCTGCACACATTTACGTGTCTTGCAACAGCAGAAAGCGCAAGTAAAGAATTTATCATACACACAGTCCGTTTATTTTCTGAATGTAACAGTTCTTTATTTTGAAAAAAAAAACAGATGAAAAAAGTACAATACCGTTAAAAAGTACGGAATTTTATAGTGTGTAAGGTGTGTTTACACATTGTCTACGTGATTCAAAGCAAATGTTGT